TGATGTGAATGCTATTTTTTATGTGTATTCCTTTTTGTCTTTCTTCTTTTGCTCAACGTGTTTGTGATACTCATTCTTACGTGCTGTGAGGCTCTAGTTCGTTGATTTTTCAGTCCTGTATAGTATTCCCTATAAAAATGAAGGAAAATACATGGTGTTAGACACAGCTGATATTTTGTATTTCTTTTAAGAGCCTAAAATTGTTTCTCTTTATTTGACAAATACTTTGCATCTGGCTATTGTGTTATGTGCTTTTTTATTTGTTTTTGTTTTTAGCTGCATATAAAAAAAGAACCAAGTAAGTGCAGCTTATAAAATGATAAGCTTATTTTCTCAGTGTATTTGATTTCATAAAATCTTAATTTCATTGTTTCTAAATCATCATGAAATATTTAAAAGGAAAATCCTAACCTGAGGGAAACAAATGTTGGAACAAAGGTAGCAAATGTTCTTATGGTAGAAGACAGTATACACATTGGTAAGATAAACACTAAAAACAGTAGAAAATGGGAAAAGGAAGGAAAAAGCATTTCACAAAGAAATAGATGAACTGTATACAGGAAAAATGCTAAACTGCATTGAGGGTTTTAGATTTATATTAGAAACTAAAGTAGTTTCTTTGATGACACTTTTTTCTTTACATTTGTGGAACCTCGTGATTTTCAGGCATTTATGTTTTTTAAGAAGTTTGGTGTAAGAATCTGTAAAGTCAAAGTCAAGTTCTGGTAATGTTTTATTTCCCTGCAGTAGCAATTCTTCTAAGACAGCATGATTTACTATGTCCTCATAGAAAGACAGCATGAGCGCATGTACATGGCCGGGCAAAATTAAACATATGCTCACAATCAAATTAATGTATTTCATCTGTCTTCAACTAATAACAACCTGTCATGTTATCTATCTGAGTAGGGGCATAGACAGTTTATTTTGTGTTTGGAGTAACTTCTTGGAGGTAGTTAATGTGACAAGTAGTTTGTCTGAATTGAATATAACCAGATCAACAATCTAGATGTTTCCTTGATAACCTAAAACTTACTGTGAAAATCCATACAAGCACTATATTTGTATTTTGCTTCTTTAAGTTAGGCAGAGACGTATTTTACAATAATTTCACAGAGATTTGTCTGTTTCTGCCATTGTATATGGACTAAGATGCATTAAAAAGTTTATTCTTTTAGTGATTTCTTTCCACTGACAGGGATTAGACAATAATATAATTAGCGTCACACAATACTTTCCCTTTTTTAAAAAACATGAAGTAATGCATTCTGGTTTGAATAAAAAAGTCATATTCATTGTAGAGTATGTTCTTGTAGCATGTTAACAAGTGAATTTTTAGGAAAATAAGAATATTGTAAACTTTTAGGCCAATATAAAAAAAATATACCAACTATTGTAATGTTTTTCAGCATTTAAAATTTTTACTTAAAATTTTATATTCTTTAGTTTGATCAGTAACTGATTATTATACATTTGATTTACAGTTTTTAAACTACTTATTACACTCAATACTGTATCTTTGAAAACTATTCTGTTTGTTATATCAACAATCCTATAAGTAGATACAATGGAGATCCTGACTATGGATGCCTGAATGCCAGGAAACAAACAGGACTTACAAACAAATAAGACTTAAAAAGAGAAGTTGTCATATACTTGGCTTATTAGCATTAGTGTGTGTATTTTAGAAGTCAAAATATATACATAATTTTAAGCACAAGGAAATCAAATTTAATAAATTATTAAGGGTATTTAATTTGTCGTGTGTGGGTTAATCATGGTGGGTCATTTTTAAGCATTACGTAATTTCCCTATTTGTATGTACAGCAGCAAGTACTTTGTAAAGAACTTTATATAATCAAGTGCTAGGCACAGAGCATCTTATTTTATAATGCCTATGGGCTCAGTTTTATGATTTTTTGATGAATACTTAAAGTACTAATAAGCAATAACCAGGTTTATAATAGTTCACTTTTTTATAATAACGAGCCTTTAAAGTTTGTATGTCTTTATTCTTTTAATTAAAACTCTAAATAAAAGACTTTAAAATGACCATTCCAAAGGCTAATGTTCCTTCTTTGTGAGACACTGAATCTGGAACCAGAGGGCTTGATTCTGATTCTGGTGCTAGCAATGGGGCTTTCGTTAAATCACTCTGAGCCTCAGGCTTTTTGTGTGTGAAATTAGATTAATGCTTTACCTGTTTGTCAAGATTGTTATGGGGCCACAAAGTTTTGTAAACTTTGAAACAGACTTTAGGTTGCTCCAGAAGTCTCTTAAAGTGGTTTCTCTGCGTCTGTCTTGCCCTCCTGTTTCCTTTCTCCTCATAGTAGCCCAAGTCATGTTCTCAGATGCAAAGGCCACGCTGTGCCACTGCTTACAGCCCTCCGCTGGCTTTGCATCACTGTATTTGAGCGATAGCCTCACGTTAGACTGTGCGTCCCCACGCCTGTTCATCACGCGTCTTTGTCCTCCTCAATTGTACTTGGTCATTTTCCTCTTCCAGGTTTTGTCCTGGTTCTTCCAGTGACTGAAATATTTTTCTCCTCCAGCCTCCACTTAGCTTGATTGGCTTATTCTCATCTTTCAGACTCAAATCAAAGAGGTTTTCCATAGCTACCGTGTAAAATTGTCATAATCGCTATCTTGCTTCCGGTCACTCTGTTACTCTTTATCTGCTCAGCAACACCTCTCCCCCTCCTGCAATTTCTGGTTAGACTTGTCACACTGACTTGTTTGTCTACGTGTTTACTTGTCTATCAGTCCTCCTCCCTCCTTGACGTGAGGGTAACACCAGCATCTGCCTTGCTCTCTCACTTACTGCTTGTGCCTAGCGTAGTGCTTGACACGTAACAGGTGTGCATGTTTAATAAATGAATTTTAAGGTGCTGCTTTACTTCTCTTAAAGGAGCACATGAACTTTTTTTGGATAGCCTGTGAGTTTTGTAACCACACTGTTAATCTGAATCATCTTTAGATTAATTAATATGCACTGTAATGACTAATTCCTTTTGGGAGAAAGAATAATCAGCTGCATGTGTGTGAGGATAAAGCTCGCCATCTTCCATTTTTAAAGTTATGATATAGATAATGGCAATTATTTACAATTTGTAAAGGACCTTACAAGTTTACAAGGTAACTGAACAGAAAAAGAAGTCATAGTCCTGAATCTGTAGGAATGCAACATTTGTAATCATTTGTAATTTTCTTTTGAATAGTCTCTGAATTTAGAAATAAAAGTTGTCACTGTGTAGTTAATGGAAGTGCTCTGAATCCAACTTGGGAAAGTATCATATATGTCACCCACAAGAACTTCCTTTTGGGGTTATATTTTTGCTCAGATGGGCTGGACTGTGTGAGGTGAGATGGGCGAAAAGCGGAGCGGTATAGATGTTACCGATGTGCATGTGAACTTCTTAGCATCCCATAGTGACAACATGGCTTCCTGACCCTAAAGCTGCTTGCAGATTCATTCTGATGTAAATTCTTGCCACTTGTTTTTCTCTTTTCTCTGACAAACCTCCATCTCTGCTTCACTTGCTCAACTGCATTTGTGCTGAACAGCCCCCAGCCCTTCCATCTCCCTCCCCACTCCCTAGACATTCTCTACCCGGAATAGCTTATCCTTTAACACAGAAGCCGTGTTCCAGAAAGGCGGTAATGGGCTGACAGACTCGGAAAAATGAACAGACCCTCCAGGGCTTCTCCATATCACAGGCGGATTTGTCAGGATTAAGAGAAATACAGTACCCCAGAAAATGCCCTGATTGTTGCCACCTTTCTGTTCTAAGTTCTACTATAAAACAAATATTCTGCAAAAACAAAATTAGGTAGGTAGAGACCCTCAAACACTGCAATCAAGCTAAAGTTAGGTAACCAGAGACCCTCAAATAATACAGCCAAGCTAAAACTATGAGGTCATACAGATTAGAGCTAGCCAGGGCTTTCTGTTCCTTCCAAGTGGCTTTTTAATTTTAAACTTTTAAAGAAATCTTGAGTTAATGGGCCTGAGTTTCAGTTTTCTAGTTCCCTGCCTCCCTCAGATCCACACCATCTTCCGGCCTCAGCCTATATGAAGACTAGACTACTGGTCAACTCAAGTAAGTTAAAAAAATGATAATAACTCGAGTGGTTTGCTCCTATGTAGATAACAGTGAAATCAACAGGGCTGAGCGCCTGCCTTCCTGAGCATCCTATTTTCCTTACCTGCCAAGCAGAGGGATCGCAATGATCAGCATCACTGCTAATTTTAGCGCTGCCCAGTCTCAGGCTATCCCGCAAGTGACCATTCCAGAGTGATCGCCATTCCATAAACAGCTGCCTTCCCACATCTCCGAAACTGGAGGGAAAATAAAAAACAACCCTGAGTTAGTAGTTAACATTAGAATTCCAAGAATTCTCATTTCTCCTGAGGTCTTTTACATTTCATTCATTCTCTCTTCCTATTTTGTACCATCTCCAGCAGGTGCTCCAATCCCCTTTCTTCAAAATAAATTCCTACTCATCTTCCAATAAATTTGCTTCATTCACTTGAGCCCATCATGGCTTCTCCCTAATTTTATCACCCATGTTATACAGTCCCATGAATCTTTCTATTTTTAAGAGAATTTAATACTTGCACAACAAGTGGATTCTATAACCACAGTGTGTCTGCATATAAGCAATATACTTATTGAATAGGAACAAAAAGAAACTGTCTCACTTTTAAGATTTTTAAAGCAGAGCCAAAGTACATAGTAGGGTAAATGGACCAAAGCTTGGTTGAGTTAAATCATCAATAAAATTAAGTACATGGATAATATCACTTATATGGAAAATCTAAAAAAATAATAATGACACAAATGAACTATTATTTGATGGGTTATTATTTATAACTTAAATGATTGCATTCTGGAATGTGTGTGAGCACACCTGACTGTCCTTTATGACTGGATCACCACATCCTGTTGATTCTTATTTTGTGGCTGGCTTTATTCCTTTGGTAATGATGTAAGTTTAACCCGAGTTCCAGGTCACCGTCACCGGCTCAGGGATGTAGCCCCAGACCAGGCAGCCGAAGGCCACTGTGGAGCCAGGCATGTCCCCGCATCTAGCAGTCGGAGGATAGACCGATGGGGCCTTGGTGGAGGCTGCAAGAAAGTAGGCCGTGTGACCACCGGGGCTTCACCCCTGGGAGGGTCCAGGCAGGGTGTCACGTGCCCAGATCTGGGCACCCCTGAGCCCAGCGCCCACGTGCTTCCAGGATGTCTGCAAACCAGCTGGCCAGCAGGGCCCTCACCACCTGGGGCCTCGTGCCTCTGCAGCTGTGGGTCACAGCTGGGTGATCACCTGGGTGACAGCCCCCCAGGTCCCGAACCTCCTGCAAGTACCTGGCCTGACTGAGCCCTGTGTCTGAGTCCTGACCAGTGCTGCCTGCTCCCAGCCAGCGTCCGCTGGTCCCCTGAGCTCCCCGTTCTGCTGCCCCAGCCCTGCCCTGGGTGAGCGGGCCTCTCCTTGGCGTGGTGGGCCTCCACCACCCAGAAGCCTGCTCGTAGCCCCTTGCCTGGCCTGCTCTTTGCTCACCGGGCCTGTGTCTTCTGGGTCAGCTCTGCAGCCAGAGCACCTGGGCCCTGGCCCTGCAGGCCTCCTCCTTGGCCCCTCCCCTTTCATCCCTGTGGCCTCAGCCCGGCTG